AAAACAAAAATATAGTTAAGAAACCTCAAGAGGTGCATAATAATAGGTGCTGCCATTCAAATAAAAGCCCCAACAAACATAAACAAACATAAACATAAACACAAACAATAAGCTCAGTTTGCTCTTTGTTCATTGATTTAATCAGATTATAGTTTCTACAATAGAAATGTGTTTTTAGCATGAATCGAATTAATATTAAATGTTCATTAAAGGTTGTTAATCTGTCAGCTGATGAGTTGTAAGAAGTGTTTCTGTGTCGATGGTTTGGTTTGTCTCTTTTTAATCTACAAATATCTGGTTTTCATCACATTTCACTGTAAAATAAAGAAGTGAGTGTTGAAAACAGGAAGTGTTCAGACTGAAGTTTCATAGAAGAGATCTGGTACAGGCTACAGTTTAAAATACTTTTTGTTTCATTTTTTTCATCTGTGTTTGTCAKAAACTGATGGTTGTTTATTAGTTCAGTGACTCAGACCTGCAGTTGATTGTTCTAAAACTTCAGATGTAAATAAATAAAACTAATCAGAAACTTCTCTGTGCCTGGATTCATTCACACCTCAGTGTTTGTCTGCGAGCTGCTGCAACATGAACAGAGCAGATCTCTGCATGCACTACGTGCACGGAGCAAAGCATGGAGCATGTGCATGGAGCATGTGCACGGAGCAAAGCATGTGCATGCAGTACGTGCACGGAGCAAAGCATGGAGCATGTGCATGGAGCATGTGCACGGAGCAAAGCATGTGCATGCAGTACGTGCACGGAGCATGTGCATGGAGCAAAGCATGGAGCATGTGCACGGAGCATGTGCACGGAGTGCATGCAGTACGTGCACGGAGCAAAGCATGTGCATGCAGTACGTGCACGAAGCGTGTGTAGCACAGAGTCCCTCCCTGCAGGTAGAGTACAGGTGTCTCTTTAAAGATCAACTCAAAATCTTTCCAACAAGTTGAAAAGTAAAAGGAAATGACTCATCAGTCAGGAGTCATGAGTCGTGAGTCGTGAGTCGTGAGTCATGAGTCACTCAGCCACCAGTTTTATCATATAAACTGAAAGTTTGACAACAGTCTGTGAACACTTCTCAGAAATTCATTTTAAAAACACTCTGCCACTCTGTTTCTCAGAATCTGACCCCTCTGAACCTTTATCCAGAACAACAACAAACATGTTGCTCACAAACTGGACTTATTATTATTATTATTATTAGTCCCAGCAGAACCCCTGAACATCAGTAACTCAGAGGGGCGGGCCATCCTTCATCTTTATTTTTATCTCCATCATCATCATCATCAGAACCTGAAGAGAAATTAAAACAGAAAACAGTCAGAAGTTTAAATCTGTGTTGATTTTACTGAACTGATTAATCATTGGACTGATTAAAGTCATTTTCACTTTAGATTAAATAAATAAACAAATAACAAGAGTCTCACATCTGCTGTGAAGTTCAACAATTCAGAGTTTTACAAACAGAACAGAGGAACATGACTCCAATGAAAATTTAAAATAAATAACATGTCCAAACAAGACGGCAGAGTTTAAGACTTCACTACAGGTTCAAAGCATCCCGGACGAGTCCCCGAGTTCTGCTCTGGTCCAGATGGTGCGCAGAAGAAAAGTGAGCTGTGAGTATTTTCCTGTCTGTTGATGAAGCAGCTGTGTGATGAAAGCTGAAGGTCAAATTCTTTTTACCACTTCAGTAGAAAACAAAATTGAATGTTAGTTTCTTAATTTCTGCATCATCAGTGGCTTTTTTAAAATACTACGGTAAAGAAGAAAAAGGAAAAGGTAGAAGAGAAATATAAGAACAGTAAAGAGAGAAACAGATAGAAGTTATAGAACATGTGAAATGAACATCAATAACACACAGGACACCACACCAACATCTGACCATCAGCAAATGAAG